AAATTTTAAGCTACACACGTGCATATGCATTCAGTTGAATGTTAAATGTTTTTTAACAGTTTACTGCTGCATTGGCTTTGTGCCTGAGGTTTCTTGCAAGTACCCGTTTAACAAGAGTCGAGTAAAAAGGAAGCCACTCACAACAACAACGCATACACTATGTACTTGTAGCCTCGTAAATTACACTTTCAATGAAAAATAATCAACTTTTTTAAATAGGTCATGGTGCAAAACACCCAGCCGACTTTGCTGTAGGCTTGTGAAGCAAAATATGGATATTAATAAAATACCTCTCACAATTTCAGCGAAGTATGAAAATTAGTAGAATAAATCACGACTCACAAGAGTAGAGAAATCTATTATGGTAATCGTCTACTGTTAGAAAACTTACTGAAATTGTCGCAAAAACCACCTAGAAGCAAAAGTACAACAGCAAACTTGTGACATGATGAGTCCTTAATGGCAGTTTCCAATTAATGTGCTACAAGTTGCACAACTTATTTTCCGATTAATAAACACCGGATTTTTTCAATGGCGGAAAGTGAAGGACTTAGAGAAATTCTTCAGGGCGAAAAAACGAAAGCGCTTGAATTAATTCTAAAACTACCCTATGACATAATCACTACTGTGTTCATTACTATTGTCCAGGTTTTAGTAAAATATTCGTAGCAGTTTTTTATATATTGGCTTGTAAAACTATAAACAATAATAATAAGGCTGGAGACACTGTTATAAATATACACATTGTTTACTCTAATAAAAGGAAGCGTCTCCGACTAGTATAACAGTGATTAAATGGCTTCTACATTCCTGCGATGCCTGAATAGTTTTGAAGAGCTTATGTTAGTAGCGAAGAAGAACTTAGAAAATTTCAAGAATCAACTTAAAATATCCATACAACCTTCGCAGGAGTTTATTTAGTAGCTGTGTATAGATTTTGGCGCAGTATACCTAGCTATTTTTGCTATAGGCTTCGGTGCTTAAATGGCACCGAAGAGAAACTTGACTAGCAACGATGAAAATTTAATAAAATCACTTTCAAGAATCAACATAAAAATTGTCCTATGATCTGCGCAGAAGTTTTTTAATAAGTTTGCCTAAGTTTGAATAAAATATTCATAGTCTTTTTTGTAGGCTTGTGAAACAAGAATAATATGAATAAGAACAAATGGATGAATTTGGAATGTTGTCTAACAATCGGAAAATCAACTTTTTTGTTATTAGCAATATTTTAGCAACTTAGCCATTAAAATAGAAGGTTTTAAGTGCTGTTTCAAGAACAAGTCTGCTTTTCATGATGGTTTTTGCCCGTATTTTCAATTAGAATTTTTGTGAAATTCCTGGGCAATCCCTATTATGAACCACCATTACGGTTTATGATATGCTAAACATATAAGAATTATTTATTCTTCAGTTAGAATGCTCGACTCGCAATCTGAAAATCGCGATTTCAAATCCCCTTCACCAACATGCTCGCCCTTTCAGCCATGGGGGCGTTATAATGTGACGACCAATCCCATATTAATTGGTAAAAGAGTAGCCAAGGCTAAGTAATCCCAACAATATTTTGCAAGGTACAACCAGCCTAGGATACTTTTTTATTTTAGGGTATTTCTAAGTTCATAAACTAAGCCAAAAATAATATATGAATGGTGTTGTGAGATAACTTTTTCTAACCACTTTGATATTATATTTATATAGGATTATAAAAAAACACGTAGCACTGATGCTACAAATTTATTCTTGCGAATTATTCAGCTGAACAGCTGATTAAAATACTGTTACGACAGCGGAAGTCACGTAATGCTGGAAGCATGAGCGCTGGAGTTTCTAGAAGGATCATGACTGTTCCTGGCAACTCTAGTCTTTTCTAGGCACCCTCTAGTTTAGCATATAAGCCCGGCAAATAAAGCGGAGTTATATTTGCAGATAGACAAATATAGAGATAGATAATTGAGTAAAGCGAGCTGTAGGCACCATAAATAAAGTGCGTGAATCGTTGTGAATTATAGCGTGTGTTTAAGTTAAAGTGACCTTGGAAATTCTGTGTACTGCAAAGTTGCGTTGAGAAAGAATAAACTTGTTTTATTTAAGAAAGGACTTGTATCGCTGAAGTTCCTCGGGAAGAATTTATACCGGAAATTAACAAACGACCAGAGACGTTACAATACTAAAACTTTGTCCTTGACCAAGGTTACTGATCAGGGGTGGAATTCCCCAAAACTTGTATAATTCAATGG